AGAGAAATATTGATTGACTGCCTCCGCATACCCCCCACTGGGGAAGGAGCCCACAGCCCTGGCATGTGCCCTAACCAGGAAGAGAAGCAGAGACCTCTTGGTGCACCGGGCGATGCTCCGCCCACTGAGCCACACCGGCCAGGGCGGCAGTCATATTTTTTGTGCAGCCATCACCACCAACCATCCCCAGAATTTTTCCATCTTCCCCAACTGGAACTCAGTCTCCATTCAACACTAATCTCCCATCCACCAGCCCTTGGCACCCACCATTTACTTCTCATCTGTGAATTTGACTCCTTCAGGGACCTCCTGTAAGTAGATTCACAGTGTTTATCCTCTTGTGCCTGGCTTATTTCACTCAGCAGCATATTGCTTTACCTGACTTTTTGACCCTCCCAGGTGTTTAAATAAGGGTGTGGGTTTGGGGCACACACGGAGATTGCAAGCTGGCCATCTGCCTCCTGACACATTTCACGTGGCCACCTAATGTTTTTGTTTTATGTGAATGTATTGACAGGGTTTTTAAAAAAAAATCAGGAGCCCTGGCCAGGTAGCTCGTTGGCTAGAATGTTATCCCAATACACCAAGGTTGCAGGTTCGATCTCCGATCAGGGTACATACAAGTATCAACCAAGAAATGCATAAAGGAGTGGAGTGACAAATCACTGTTTCTCTCTCTCTCCCCTTCTCCCTCTCTTTTCCTTTCTCTTTCTAAAATCAATTTTGAAAAAAATAAGATTCTCATAAAAACCAGCTCTGGAACTGGCCTGGCCCAAGCCACGCCCTGGGCTGCAGTGCTGTCTGCGTGCTCATGGCCAAGTGTCTCATCTTTTCTATGTTCTTGTCCCAAGTATTTACTCCCTGTTCTCAGCTCAAGTTGAATGTTGCCCAAGGACTTGAGGAAGTAGTCACTGTGTATGTCAAAACAGCTTTAACTGTTAGAGAGAATTCAAATGCCCAGCCGGCATGGCTCAGCGGTTGAGCTATGACCTGTGAGCTAGGAGGTCGCAGTTCAATTCCCGGTCAGGGCACATGCCCGGGTTGCGGGCTCGATCCCCAGTTGGGGGGCGTGTAGGAGGCAGCTGATCAGTGATTCTCATCATTGACGTTTCTCTCTCTCGTTCCCTCTCCTTCCTTTTCTGAAATCAATACAAATATATTTTTTAAAGAGAATTAAAATGAATTGGTCTGGGGAGCCAGTGGCAGGAAGGGGACGTCCTGAGGAAGTGGTGACATGGAAGCCACACGTGGCCTGAGGGGGGTGAACCTTTCCAAGACTTGGACACACACCACAGTGGTGACTGAACCTCTGTTCCTCGTTCCAAGCTGTGCTCTGGGGCTGGCGCTTCCTGTCCGTTCCATTCCAAGTGGACAGTGGGCACCCTCCGGGCCTGATGCCCACAAAGTCAGCTTTGTCCTTAGGTCGAACGAGGTGGGTTTTCTGAACAATTGTGATAAGATGCGTACAACATGAAATTTTCCATTTTAATAATTTTAAAGTGTCCAGTTCAGTGGTGGTGTACGACCATCACCACCACCCACTTCCAAAACGTTTTTATCTTCCCAAACTCAAACTCTGCCTGGGTGGGGTTTTAATTGTCATTTTCCAATAGTTCAATTGTTTCTTTTTTCTTTTTATTAAAGTAACGCCTGCTTAAAATTCAGCAAAGAAAGCAAAAAGGAAGCCGGATACAAATGCCATTTATAGCACAATCCTACTTTTGTTATTAAAAAAAAAAAAAAGCCCTAGCTGGTTTGGCTCAGTGGATAGAGCGTCCACCAGCAGACCGAAGGGTCCTGGGTTCGATTCCGATCAAGGGCATGTACCTTGGTTGCAGGCTCCTTCCCATCCTGGGCCCTGATTGGTGCTCGTGCAGGAGGGAACCAATTGATGTTTCTCTCACATCGATATTTCTCTCTATCTTTCCCTCTCTCTTCCACTCTCTCTAAAAATATCAATGGAAAAATATCTTCGGGTGAGGATTAAAAAAAAAGAAATCAAAGTCCTGGCTGGTGTGGCTCAGTTGGTTGTGTACAGAAAGGTTGCAGGTTCAATTCCCAGTCACGGCACATGCCCAGGTTGCAGGCTTGATGCCCAGTCGGGGACATGCCTTAGGAGCTGGTCCATGTTCTGTATTGCATCCATGATTCTCTCCCTCTCTCTTCCTCTCTCTCTAAAAAAATGAAAAATCCATAAAAATAATTCAAAAAATCTTTTTTAAAAGAAAGGACAGACTTTAAAAATCATAATATGAAGTTTTATCAAAATATAGCTTACGATTCTCTTGAGTTAACAGATGCTTCTTGAGCCCTCCCAAGTGCAGACATTGTTTACCAGGGGTGGGCAAACTTTTTGACTCGAGGGCCACAATGGGTTCTTAAACTGGACCGGAGGACCGGAACAAAAGCATGGATGGAGTGTTTGTGTGAACTAATATAAATTCAAAGTAAACACCGTTACATAAAAGGGTACTGTCTTTTTTTTCAATAGTTTTATTCATTTCAAAGGGCCAGATCCGGCCCGCGGGCTGTAGTTTGCCCACGGCTGGTTTAGGCTCTTCATCTCGCCTTACTGTCTTCAGTCCACATCAGCTGCCAGGAGGAGGAATGCCATTCTCCGAGGCACTAGAGGTTAGGTGATAGCCGAGGTCACATACTTGCTCCTGCAAAGACGCGATTCCCTGCAGTGACCACCACACTCCGCTGTGATCAGATCTCCTTTCCAGAGAACACTTCAGATGTCGTTGGAGATTGGAGAGGGGTCATGAGCCAGCATCGTGTGGTCACAGGACCTTCCCGTCCCTGCCCGGTGTGGTGCAGGCAGCCAGTCAGGGTGGAATTGGATTCTTCTGCCCCATCACTGAGCAGCCCTCTGGGGCCTCAGTTTGCTCACCGCAATAACCCACCTTCTGCCGGCTGGGAGGGGTTGATGCAAGAGTCAGTCCTCAGAGCCCCTGCCCGGGGGCAGTGTTACTGCTGGTAGTGCTTTGCTGTTTCCCACAGCGAGGGCCTCTTTCCTGCCCCTCCAGGTCTTCCTCAGGCTTCTGCAGAGCCATCCTCGTCGCCCACAGGGTCCGCCGCAGCCTCCTTGGCACAGCCCAAGGACACAGGCCGGGTGCCCACGTGCAACACCAGCACCAGGGAGCCCCCCAGGCAAGCAGCCCCACGTGAATCAGAGGAGGCCGGAGGTGCAGGCAAGTGGGGGTGGCCACCCAGAAGGACAGAACGCTGGAGGCCTGGGCATGGGGTCTGGCTGTGGGAGACCCTTGTGACACCAGCCCTCCCCCCAGGTGGGCCCCAGGCAGGCATACGGTCCATCATGAAGCGGAAAGAGGAGCCTGCAGACCCCGCGACCCACCAGAGGAGCCTCCAGTTTGTGGGGGTCAATGGCGGGTGAGAGAAGTCCCCTCCCGCTCCCCAGCTTCCACACCCCTGTTTGTTGCAAGAATGTGCCAAGTACCTGGCCTAAGCCCCTCACTTCGATTCACTCATTTAACTAACGCACAATAGACAGGTGAGGAAACTGAGGCACAGTGAGGTGACTAGGAGCCTGCCTTGGTGTCTGGCTCCAGAGCCCGTGCCGTAGCCAATGGACTGCGAAAGG